GGTGCTTTTAGCTTCTAGCTATGTTCCTGAAAACATTTAGGGGAAAAGTAGTACTCATCAACTGAGTATGTTTCTCAGCCTCTGTTGACCATATCCTACTTGATTTTTGTGATAACAAAATGGACCAGTCACTAGTACTGAGGTAACAATGTTGGGCTCTGATCCATATTCCATTAAAGTTGATAGGAGAGTTTCCATTAAATTCAGTTGTATAAGGGTCAGACCCTTCAAATACTGCCTTATTAAAATGTATCCTTGATTTATTTTCAATCATTTGGCTGCAGTTTCCTTTCCTATAGGAGTGAGGTTAGCAGAGCCAAGAGTAGCCAGAAGGCAGCAGCAAGTCAGAAAGAGAATCAAAAATCATTTGTTGACTTCAACAGCTGTTTAGTTACCCAGACCTACAGGTGAGGTTTAAAAAGCAGCTACAGACTTTTCAAAGTGGAAGGAGAATAAAATCCCAAAGGAAACTATCTAGTTGCCAGGCCTTATCACTAGGCGCTTGCTCTTGTCTCTGGCACGGCTGGATTGAGTAGGCTATCTGTACTGCAGATCCCTTCCCTCTGCAGGAGTGGGTGGCGAGTGCTGGGGTGTCACCTTCCTTGAAGGAATTGCCTGAGCTGCACCGGACCTCGGTCCGCAGTGAGTATGCAGGTCAGTACTGCCAAGGCAGGCCTGTTTGCGGGGAGCATCGCACAACTGGGTGGGCAGCGCTTAACCCCTTGAGTCTGCCAGTTGGCTGATGAACACAAGGAGTTTTGGCAGGAAGGAGGCAAGCAGAAGGTGGATGGGAAAGTCCAAGGAATTGGAAGGAAAGGCCTAAGCTCAATGAAAAGTTGAGTAAAAGACCTGATTCAGTTTTGAATGATCAACACCCTACACCTTCTCTGAAGAGAAGACTTTATTAACTGTGTCGCCATGCTTTTTTTGAGAATACGGTACAAGTAAAATGATTTTGTGGACAAACTAAGGATCACTCACCAAGGCCTTCCATCAGATGCACTTAGCAGCTTACCATATATAGCATAGCATGCTATATATAGTATGCTACATGCATCAGCGTCGAGGTGCAGAGCAAAAGTGAGTTGATATCTTTTTTTTCTGCCATTAGAAGGAATAGTCTATATTACTTATGATTGTATTAAATGTATTGTAATTAATGTGTTCATCATAAGAACTATATTAATGCTTATTCTATTTTAATTTTATTCTTTTACATCTTTCTTGTCTACTTTTGGTTTCTTTTTATTGGACTTTCAAAATGTACTTCCCTCTCTTTCTTCAGATTTCTGTCAAAAAAAAGAGCTTCCTGTGAAAAAAAAATAGGTTTAAGGTTGTGCCTGCAAGACAGTCATACATTTTCTGTAGTGTTCATCACTTGGACTTGGTATCAGAGATACTTTCCTTGCCTTCCCCTTCTGATAATGCAGACAACAGTATTAGATTATATTAGGTAGAGAGCAAGGTCCATAAGAAGCCTTACTAGGATGACAGTAGCCTTGATATTGGGACTAAGACTTTGAGCTAAACTCGGGAACAAGCACTAGCCTCTCAAAGATCCTAAAGGACTGTTGAGAAAAGCTATTTTGCAGTCCTATAGTACAATAGCTAAGGTATACCCTACAGTACTGTTGCCTACCTTTAGCTAAATATAATAATCTGTCACCCTCTAGTGGTGGGTCTTCAAAATCATAATTATACCAGCAGTTGTGATAAATTTTATCTTTGTATATGTATAGGATAAGAGTTTAGTGTTTGATAGCTTTTGTGTACTGACTTTGTTCTCCACTGTATAACTGCAAGTAAATGTAGCCTGTAACTGGACCAGAAATTAAAGTGTAAATTCTCTATCTTGTCTATGGGCATATTAATTAATTAAGGAGTGTTTTTCTAAATGATTTCCGTACCCTTTCCCTCAGATAGGACTGGAGAAAATTACTGAATTTCAGCATGTGAAGCTATGGTATATATCTGTGCACTTAGAGTCACGATTAACTAATGTGATTCCTTCTTTCTTAATTCCCAGTTATAATAAAAGTGCTGCCCTTATCTAAGACTAAGTTTGATGCTGTATTGAATAGGTGCATTGCCCATTCAAATCTGTGAGAACAGTGAGTGTGCCTGCAATAACAGAGTGTAACCCATGTATCTTATGCATCTCTTGGTATATTTGACAGCAAAGCGGCCTAACAAAGCTAAACTATGTGACATCACCTATTCCATTAGCTTCAACAATACTTACAAAAGCGAAGGTTTCTGACCCAGCCTTAGAAAAAGCTGAAAGTGCAGTATGTTGGAGAATAGCATCTAATAGGTTCATTTATCAAGATTCCCAGTAACTGATAATATTGATGTGTTTTACACTGATATTGGACAATTTGGCTTCAGATCACATATGATTTAAAGCATCCTAAGGAACAGCAAAATACTTGTCTGAGGCTGGAGTGTTGTATTTTTCAGTATATCAGAATATAGTGAAATATATAGAAAGATGATGGATAGCTTGAGGCAACTGAAGCTGTTCCTTTTCGATTACTTTGCAAACACGCTTCTCAGGGTAAAGCAAGTGTTATTCATCCCTGGCCTAAGACTGTGCAATTCCTTCTAAAATATTTTTGTATTTCAGTTATTACATGCCACTAAGTATGTGGTATCTCTGTAATATTATCAGCATGGGCCATACATACTTATGTGTGAACAGTTAGCCCAGTGATTAAGCTAATTCATTATATCTTTGTTGAAGAGGTATAAGGCAACATATTTGCAATCACAAGTGAAATATAAATATATATCACTGTGTGCCTTTCACTGGGGCACACTATTTAACCTCTCTGACCTCAGAAACTTCAGGAGAAATTGTCACTACTCTGTTGGGTATATTGTGGAAGGCAAAGTGTTTCCACGAAGGGATGAGGCACATAACAATCTTAAATTTCTCCCAAAAGAACATAGAATATATCTCCTTATCACGTGTGAAGAGTCTGTCAAACTGAAGAGTGGGGTCCTGACCATGCTTCTAATTATCAAATCTTCCTCTGAATCTCTGAAATTTCAGCAAACCAGACAGTCTTTGCTCTCACACTTAACTACAGTGTTGGACAAATTCTCCTGGGAATAGAGAGGAAAAACATTTCTCATGTCCTTATGAACTAATGTTCAGTAGTTGAAAAAAAAATGCTAAAAAAAAAAGGTAGAATTTTGTACCTGCTTTCAGGTTTTATCTTTTAATATCTCTGTTTCTTTATCTCTGTATCTCATTCCTGCAAGCATGCATATAATACATATTGCCCACGTGTACACCCACATGCGGACACAGCGAGGCAGACGCACAGAGATTTGCATTCCTTTTATCATATTCATTTAATTTTCCTTAGTTTACTGGTGAAAAAATAAGTGTTCTTGCTATTAGAACCGCGGTCTTAGGGAAAATGCAGTTAGCTTTTCCGTAGCATCGTGTATAAGAAGCAGTCTCAGTAATATGTGCACATCGGCTGCTTGTTGGTGCTGCTCTGTCCTTCAGAAAGAAGCCAAACTGAACTCCTTCGACTGCGCTGACGCCGCCGTGCTGAGCGTAACGTGAAGCTTACTCTGACTTGTAAACTGAGCAGACATGACATGGAGGTCACAGAATAAGGGCATATATGCATCTTGCAGCCCTTGTTTTGACAAAGTGACTTCTCTCTCCAGAGGGACATTTCTGCCATTTTTTCCAGCATGTTTCACCTTTCACTGGCTATTAATCCCACTGTGCCTGAGCTACTAAATTAGGATTCAGGTCCTCACATGTGAGTTAAATCTTAAATCTTTTCAGCACTCTTTTTGGGCATGAGTAGTTAGCAACTCAGTTAGCAGGCCTAAGGAAATCAGAGCACAGAAAACAACAAATTAACTGTAAATCAAATGCAAAAATATTAAACACTAGAATAAATATATTATCACATTCATTATTGGAAATATTTTACTGCTAACAGCTTAAGAAATCAGATGTATTTTCTATTATTTCAGTCACTATTCATCAAGCTTTAGCATGATAGTTTCTTTCTGTTTGATGAAGTCTAACATTTATGTAGACCATCTGGTTCTGTCAGTTTTAAACACAGCTTTTTTACTAGATACATAAAGGAAGTTTTGATGCAAGTAAAGTAATTCAGGATGCTCTTGTTTTTCTGCATGCATGGCTCATGAATACTTACACAGGTAAGGTACAGGTGTGGATAGTATCCCAACAAAGAGTACTTCAAAATAAAGGCATCAGCACAGCACTTAGCATATTTATTTGCTGCAGTAGAACAACTGCAGATGATGTTCAGCCTTGTCACCATTAGCTGGCTGTAATACAACACTATTAGCAGTTGTCAATGTGTGTAATGAAGGACACTGAAATTCTTGTGCCTGTTTTGTAGAAGGGAAAATGAGGCATGGAGCAGGGAAGTGACATGTCAAAGATCACTGCAGGCTTTTGCCAGAACCCACCCTCCTGAATCTGTTCGCAATGAGGCCATCAAATTTGAGGATAATAGTAATGACTGCTTGTGTGAATAAATGTGACAGGCTTGGTTAGCTCTGTTGTATAGGTTATTAGGTCAGTGATGCCAGTTCCAAGTTTTGAGAAAGCAAAATGTCAGGCTAGACCAGGAAGCAGAGGGGCTAACATCTTTTTTTTTTTTTTAATGATGCTGAAGAAAAATATGTAAGATAATAGGGATTAATTGTTTTTCTACTGTAATAACCAACCTTCATAGACAGGATATTTTTATGGTCATGACATATGTTGTTCCGTAGTGAACCTCTTTAAGAAAAACTCTGGTATCTCAAATTACCTTTACAAAACACTGGTATTTGAGGCTGTATTTTGCTGCAAACTCTTCTGCAGATTATTGAAGGGGGAGAATGGCACAAAGGCCTGTCTCTGCAGTAAGGAGAATTTTGGCGGGGAGGAAACAGCATTTTGTAGCTTCTAATTATTGCCTGTTCTTTTGTTTTTCATTTTTCCTCAACAGAGCTACAGTGAACCTGTTGACGTTAAGGCCTCCCAGCAACCTCAGATGATGAATTCAAAGCAGTCAGTGTTTCATGGGCCTGCCCAGGCTCACTCTGCACTGTACCTCAGTTCCCACTACCACCAACAACCAGGAATGAATCCTCATATCACTGCCATGCATGCCAATATCCCCAGGAACATAGCACCTAAGCCCAACAGCCAAATGCCAGTGACTGTTTCCATAGCAAACATGGCCGTGTCCCCCCCACCACCGCTCCAGATCAGCCCTCCTCTGCACCAGCATCTCAACCTACAGCAGCACCAGCCTCTTACAATGCAGCAGCCCATTGGGAACCAGCTACCGATGCAGGTCCAGTCTGCTTTACATTCACCTACAATGCAGCAAGTAAGTTGAGTTTTTTAGTTGTCAGAACCAAGGGTTTTTTGTTTGTTTGTTTTGCAGAGGTGGGAAAGGTTTTGGGGGGGTGGGGGGGTGATTTGAGGAAGTTGAAATCATCCATAGGTTGAGAGGGAGAGTGATTTAGGACCATGGGTTAGCTTCAGTTCTGCGCAGTTCCAAACCTGCAGTAATATAGTTCAAGGGCTTCATCTTTCAAAGATGAGAACAAATGAAGAAGTTTACCTAAATGATTGTGAGCTTCAGTGGAATTGTTTGTGCTCCCAACAATCATATTCTTGTGAACCCTGTCTCTTCCACATATTCAGGAGTCCTCCTTTAAATAGAAGTGTCTGTTACTGCTTAGATATATCTACAAGGCAGAAAGTGCACTGAAGTATAACTGAAAATTTGAGGCCTCAAAAACATCTATTTTAAAAACAAAATGCAGGCATGTCTAGAAACAGATGTGGTAGTAGTGTGTCTCGTGTATAGTAGTGCTGACTGTCCTATGTAACAGACACAGGGAAAGCAGAGCATAACAGGCTCTGTTGTACGTATTAGATTAAATGAGCATAACTACGTTAATTTATGCTCCTACATTCATGTCTTCATTGTGGTAGGTAGACATGCTTTATTACTGGAAAGAAATAGTTTATCCCCAGTAAGGTGAGACTTTTCAATCTGATTTTTTCTGATTTTTTTGATACATTTGCTGGAGGATCTGAATGAATGCAGGGCAGTACTGGGAGTTTTGACCCTAATTCCATGGAGGGGTGGAGCAGATGAACACTACTGATTTCACGAGAGCAGATTTCCCTTTGCGTTGGCTGAGAGTTGATTAGCAGTAATAAAATGTTGCTTTGCAAAGAGGTGATAGAGTGAAAATCTCTCTATGGAGTTGCAAGAATCTCAGAAATTCGTACGCACACAACTTGCAAGTTCTGGTTGACAGTGCACAGTTGTGAACCTGCTATATGTTTTGAATCTCTCTCCATAAATTCATGTTCTCTAACAAGACACATTGCATTAGCTTTTCAAACGTACCAGACTTGGGTAGCTGGAAGTAACTCAGCAAGAGGTCTTAGACAGATGATCTAGGAAGGGCTGTCTAGAGATCCCAAGCCTGAAGGGAAGCCCATTCTCAATTAAATCTACAGGCTTAGAGCAATTAGAGGCAAAACAATGGACTGACACCCAATGCAAATGTCTGGTTAGTGACAAAATATGAATAACGACAGCTGTGACAGCAGCCTGTTGAGATCATATGGTTATATTCAGCAAGTCTGGTATTGCAAAGCGATTCAATCATCCCAAAATTAGAATCAAACATTTTGTGCCAAACTTAGATTCACTTGACCAGGGCAAATCACGATAACATCAAACCTATAGTTTCTTTTCAGAATTGCCGGTAGGCGAAACTTTTTGAACAAATTGGAAAATGTGGCTTTCATTATTCAAAGGATAGTATGATAATGGTTAGCAGATGCAGACGTTAGATACTTGTGAGGATTTCGTATGTGTCTGATTAGGTATATGTACAACACGCATTATCATCATTGTGTGAATCCAAACACTGCTTCAGGAGTTACTCCAGACCATTATATATCACAAAGAAAGTAAGATAATATTAGTCTTCTGATGCTTTTATTTTGCCAAGTTGCACAGTTGTAGCATGTGGTGTGCATGTCAGTGGTTTGGAAGAACTTTCATTCATCTGTGAGATGTGTCATATGCAGCCGAGTCATTTTTAGCTCAGGAAAAGATACAGGTGTCTAGAAGTCAAAATGTCAACCTGTACCATACTGTGTCTTTTTCTTTACTAAATACAAGAATGGTAGAATAAAAACTGCTGTTCTCCTACTCTTCGTTATTAAACTAATGAGAGGCTAGCTTATATACTTTTACTCACTCACATTGCTTAGTCGGGAAGGCTGATGTGGTACCATGGTAAGACAGCAGAGATATTTCTTATCCTCAGTCAAGGTGGCAGATACTAATTACCTGTTGAAATGCTACGCTTCCAATCTTCAGTGCATTTCTCCTCTAAGCATCGTGAAACAAATGCAAGACATTTTATATTTTTAGTGTTTAATTTTTGCTTAAAAATATTACAATTTTTGAGCTCTGAATGTCCTGTGTTATTTCACTTTACTTTTAGTAAGTGCTGTGGGAGTGCTGTGGGAATCCCATATTTGTGATGTTTATTTCATATTGTTATACAGTTATACAGTTAGTAAATTTATTTTAAGTGCAAAATCCAGTCCCTTTAAAAGAATGATGTTGGCAAAGACAAAGCAAAAAACGTGTTGAATTTTTGAGCTACAAGTGTGTTAATAACAACTTATATGCCAGAGCTGAATGTAGTCTCTTAGAGCCTATCTAGTCTCTTAGGTATGACTCTTTCTAGTCATACCCAAGAAATCTTAAAAAACACTATCCCTAGGATTGCATATGTATTTATAGCACTAAAAGATGTGTGGCCTACTAGTAGGCATTTAACAGGAATTTGAGAAACTTCTTGAGAAACTTTAAAATAAAGGCCTCCTCCTGACTCATATGTCAAGGGATGGTGCTCTCCACTCTGCTTGAAACTGAGCAAACACAGAGCATGTTAAAAAGGAAAAGACATAATGGAAAAGACAAGCAAGCCCTCCAAGAAGCTGCAGTACAGTAAGAGCAGCACAGAAGGTTAGCAGCAGTGCAGGCAGTAAAGAGACATAGAGCTATCTCGTGTGTCCGGCCTCTGGCAAGGAGGGAGGCAGGACCACCCCACCGAAACCCATGTGCTTGACTAGCAGAGTACACCATTTTACCATATAAAAAGAGAATATGTGGGCTGACAAAGCCAAAGCAACAGTTAGCATCTGATTCAGCTCTTTCGCAGCTCCTCTTCCAGCAGCTATTTGATTTCCTACCATGCTGGCCGTGTGGGTGCTCTAAGCCTGTACCAGAGACTACATTGGGCTTCCAGTTTAGGTAAGCAGGAAGAACAAAAGAATTAATGTCATCCTACTCCCTGCTTTGTGACCAGCAACAAGAGAGATTGTTCCTGTTCAGAAACCCTACCACTGATCAGACTTTAAGTCAAAGCCAGGCAAATCCTTTTATGCCACACTGCACCAAGAGAAGGTGTATGTGTAGGCGTAGCTGCCTCAGTAGCGTTGTAACAGTCTTCTACCCCAGACATTCCCTGGGCTATAAACCACCGTTACAGACTGAGAACCTTCCATTGGTGGGCTCTGATTTTTTTTTCTTTTTTTTTCAATATTCTATTTTGAAAGAGTTTGACTTGCTAGCGAGATATTCAGTGCGTTGGGAGTGCTGTGGGAGTCCCAGCAGATTCACTGCTTTAAAGCAGCAGCTACTGGGAGTTTTGGCCACTTGTTTTTCTCCAGGAGAGGGAGGATAGTTTCTTATCAAAGACAGACTTGCAGTATGTCTGAAGCACTGCCAGCTCTAAGAAAAACTACATAGAGATCCAGACCTTAGTCCTGGCAGGCAGGACCACGGCTGTCCAAAATGACAGTGCCTATAATCCACAAATTCATCTTTTCATCATCTGAGTAACTTTGAGGAAGGACTGATAAGAAGCTGCTGACTGAGGGGAAGAGTTCATGGAAACAGCACCTGCCCACACAACTGTAAGGACACTACACTGATCCGTAACAGCTCCATAGAGAACAGCACGTCCTGCCATTCTTCCAGCAGCACTTGGCTGCTCCTGTGCGGCTGCCAAACTCAGGCTGCCAGCTGGAGAAGGACACTTTTCTGAAGGATTCCATGAAAACTACTGAAAATCAAGAAGATCAGAAGTTTAGGAGCCAAAAATCCACAATGACTGCGCATTTTTCAGCTAATTTAAAATCACTTAATACTGTGAAAAGCATCCAAACTATTCTAAAATGCACAGAACTAACTAAATTTTATCTGTTTGTGTTTTGTTTGTATGCCTACCACTAGTAAATCTTGTAAAAGTTCATTTTACAACCTTCCCTAATTTGAGTTATCTAATAATTTTTATAGCGTCTGGAAACTAGACCATTGTTTTCTCTATTCCCTTTTCTTCCAAAACACTTAATGAGTAAATTAGATAACACTGGCCGTATTATAGATGTCTGGGATGCTCCTCTGTTATCTCTTACACAATAAAAAATGACTGTTTAGTCCTTTTCTTATCCTGTGGTTTAAATTAGATCCTCGTTTTGACTGTACTTTATTTCTAATTGGAAAATATCTTAGTGCAGTTTTCTGAAATATTCTTAGCAGGAGCTGTGCTGAAGTTTTTCTTTGTTGAAGTCTAAAGCCATATTGTAACATTCTTTCATCCACTTTGACATGCTGAATGAATCCTAGTAGATTAGAGGAGTGTGATTTTTTTTCATTAAATACTCACATGAGCATCTTATCAATATATCATCTTTTAACTGATACAGACTCCCTTCTCCCCAGCCTGTTTCTTTCCTCTGATTGTATGTGAGATTAGACAACAAGGTTTCACAAAATGTTTAATTTTTACTTAGCTGGAATCAGGTGATTGGAATCTCGCCCTTTGTCATTCAAATCGTCCCAATTCCTCTGAAGTTCAGGGTAAAACAGCATCTGAAGCGGCAACCTGTTTTCTTTTGAAAAGTCATTCAGCTCTTTTGCTG